GATAATTAGTGATATTGAACATTTTTTCATGTGCCTCTTGATCATTTGTATGTCTTCCTTGGAGAATTGCTTGTTTAGGTCTTCTGCCCATTTTTGAATTGTGTTCCTTGTTTTTTTCTTATTAAGTCTTATGAGCTGCTTATATATTCTGGAAATCAAGCCTTTGTTGGTTTCATTTGCAAAAATTTTCTCCCATTCTGTAGGTTGTCTTTTTCTTATACTTATGATTTCCTTTTCTGTGCAGAAGCTTGTAAGTTTCATTAAGTCCCATTTGTTTATTCTTGCTTTTATTTCTATTGCTTGAGTAGACTGTTTTAGGAGAATATTTTTGAGGTGTATGTCAGATAATGTTTTGCCTATATTTTCTTCTAGGAGGTTTATTGTATCTTGTCTTATGTTTAAGTCTTTGATCCATTTTGAGTTTATTTTTGTGTATGGTGTAAGGGAGTGTTCTAGATTCATAGCTTTACATGCTGCTGTCCAGTTTTCCCAATACTGTTTGCTGAAGAGACTGTCTTTATTCCATTGTATATTCTTGCCTCCTTTGTCAAAGATGAGTTGACCAAAAGTTTGTGGGTTCATTTCTGGCCTCTCTATTCTGTTCCATTGGCCCATATGTCTGTTTTTCTACCAATTCCATGCTGTCTTGATGACTGTAGCTCTATAGTATTGTCTGAAGTCTGGGAGAGTTATTCCTTGCAGGGAGGTTTTTTATTGCTAGTTCTGTATCACTTCTAGTGATTGCTCTGTTCAGATTATCTATTTCTTCTTGATTCAGCTTTGGTGGACTGTATGTTTCTAGAAATGGACTTTTCTTCTAAGTTGTCCAGTTTGTTGCCATATAGCTGTTAGATTTTAAATTTTATAGCTGAGTAGCAAAGGCTCAGAGAAGTTAAGTAACTGCCTAAGATAAACAGCTGGAAACAAGTGGTAGGAATTTGAATTTAGATGTGTCTAACTTCTCTGTTACAATGCTTTTTTTAAGATTAAGAAAAGGCAAGACAGAAAAACAAGATTAAAAAGGAGGAATAAACAATTAAGCTAATGTTAGGATATACATAGCTACTATGTTTAAGCATCAAATTTCGCTCTAAATTTCGCAATAAAATGTTGAAAGGAAAAAAAAATTTAAGTTTGCTGACAACCAGGACAAAAGGGAAATTAAAAATTGTATTAGAAAGAAATAATTTGACCCATTTCTGGCACTAAATTTATTTGTATAATGGGATTTTATAAATACAGATTGATTTGGGGGACATTACTGCTATAATAATTTTTATAGCAAATTGCAGAAACACATTTAATATAGTTGGGCTTTAAATCTGTTTTTGACTAATGCCAAGGACTTAGCGTTAAAGTTCAAATTAGTGAATTCTGTGAAGAGATAAACTAATATTATTCAAGCACGATGTTTTCTTTGTGTTTCCAAGTACTTTACGTAATAATATTTAGAAATTTTAAGGAATAGAAGCCTGGCCTGCCCTTTATTAAAAGCCTATGATTTTACCATAAAGGAGAAGGGGAAAACTTTCACTTATACTTTTGATTAAAGATAGATTTGAGGTCATTTTCTTTTTTGAAAACCTGAAATGCTCTCTTAAACCTGAAGGAAGTATTGGAGGTAAAAGCATGCAGGCAGGTTCTGTACTGTATGTTAAGGAGCCTTTTGTAAAATTTTAACCTTGGTCAAAATACAAAGTTACTTTTTCTAAAGATGATGCTTGATTTTAGAGACAGACAGACAGACAGACATCTGTCTGTTAAATGGAATACTAAAACAAGTGTCTTTGCATAGAATTGCTGTTCTGTGGTTTATGTCAACAAACATAGGTTAATCTGAATTTTCCTTACATTATTTTAATTTTTGGTAGGGACAACAGTTATTATTTAATTTTATATGGACCTATGGAATTCAAACTTCCAGTGAGATTGAAATATCTACTACATTTAAGAATCAGTTTATGATACCTGCCAATATTACCTTTTATGTTTGAGGGTGCTTTGTAGTTGTGTACTAATTTATTTAATTCATTTTTTAGGGTTTTATATGACTGGAAAGAAAGACTGAAACAAGGGTGTGAAATTATTCAGAGTACTCCCTATGGACGCCCTGCAAATATTAGTGGCAGTACCTCATCACAAAGAATTTATATCACTTACCGAAGAGCCTCTGAAAACATGACTCAGAATACGCTGGCTGTTACAGACATATGTATTATTATACCCAGTAAAGGAGAAAGTCCACCACACACATTCTGCAAAGTTGACAAGAATCTCAATAACAGTATGGTAAGTGACTCTTTTGCACTGACAAAGTTAGCCACCGATGAAAAGAGCATAATTTAAAATAAATCTTTGGAAAACAGCACAGCACAATTACTGAATTAAAAAATATGGTTTTGAAGATGTTGAATTTTTTATTTTCAGAAAAGTAATTTAGTTTTACTTTCAAAAGGAGCGGTGCAGAAAGCTTTTCGTTTTTTTTTTTAAAGCAAAAAAATAATTTTCCCCCCTTACTGCGAAAGTAATGCGCTAGCCGAGGTTAAGCCCTCCAAATGTCTACTAACACTCATATACTCACCTATTTGAGGACATGGTTTCAACAATTCTTCCTACTTTATTTACTTACTAATTTTTTTTGAAAGAAGAGGCTGGGGATCGAACCCAGGACCCTGTCTGTGCACGCTAGGCATGTGTTCTACCACTGAGCTATACCCTCCCCACTCTCCCTACTTTATTGTGAATCTTCAGTTTTTCTCTGTCTCATGGATTATTTCCTCCAGCATGCAAAGCATGTTGCAGTACCTCCCTTCTTTACAGAACTTCTTGATCCTTATATCCATCCATTCACCCACTAGATTGTTCTTTACAGTAAAACATCTGAGAAGACGTTCTGTCACCTTCCTCACTTTGACTCCTTCCAGTTAAGCTTTTGTCTTTGTCATTCCATCAGGATCGCTCTTGTCGAACCCAGTGATCAGTCCTTCATCTTAATTTTTCAGTGGATTTATATACCAGTGATCACTTGTTCCTTCTTGAAATAGTGGCAGGAAGAGAAGACACAGTGTCTCTGCTCTTTCCTCCTACCTCACTAGTCCTTCCCTCTCTGCCTTTGCTAATTCCTTCCCAATTCCCTAACCTCTACACAATGAAGTGCCCCCGATTCAGTCCTCAGACTATTTATCTTCGTAATCTAAACTCACTTTGTCAATGATCTAATCACTTAAATGCAGGCTATACGTGGATGACTTCTAAATTTATGTGTGTAGCCTGGATCTTTCTAATTCATTATCTCTTCTTGGATATCTTATCAAATAGGTCATGTCAAATTTAACATGCCCCAAACTGAACTCCTGATGTCTTGCTCCAAACCTGCTTATCCTCATAGTCTTCCTCATCTAATAAGAGGAAATTCCACTTTTCTAGTTACTCAGACTAAAAACCCTTGGAGTAATCCTTAACCTTTATCTTCTGCTTCTCATCCAGTTCTTCTGTAAATTCTGTTGACTTTAATTTCAAAATGTATTTTGAACTTGAGTTCTTCTCAACTTCTCCGCTTGCTACAACTCTGGTCTACACCATAATCATCTCTCAATGGGATTATTGCAATGGCCTTCTATTTCAGGAGTTAGGCAAACTTTTGTATAAAGGGCTAAATAGTAAGTTAGGTTTTACAGGTCATATACAGTCTCTGTTGAATATTCTTCTTTGTTTAAAAAACAGCTCTTTAAAAATGTAAAAACAGGTCTTAACTCAGTTCTACAAAAACAGGCCTCAGGTCAGATGTAGGCCATAGTTTGCCAAACCCCTGGTCTAACTGATCATTACTTCCACTTCTGCCTCCTACAACCTGTTCTTCACATAGCAGCAGGAGGGATCCTGTTAAAACATAAATTAGATCAATCACTCCTCTGCTTACAACCTTTAATGGCTTCCTGTCTAGCTCTTAGTAAAAGCCAAAGTCTTCCAATAGCCTAAGGCTGTGCATGATCTATAATTATATTTATCTTTGTTCTTTTATTGCTGTTTTAAATTTTTGAAAGAAATGTGTACTCAAAAAAAAAAAAAAAGAGGGGGAGCAAATTGGAGATCTGTGATGTACATTGTGAAAGTTCTTGTTCCTGCTTCCATCTTTTGTGATCCTTTGCCAGGATGAACAATGAACAATTTGGCTCGTGTCTTTCCAGACTCTTGTGTGTGCACATATGTGGAGTATGTATGATATGGATAAATTCATGTTTTGTTTTTCAAAAGTTGGATATTTTAATATATTCTGATAGAAACTTTTTCCACTATCCATCTTTATCAATTAATATAACTCTTTACTTGATTCTTTTGATGATTGTATGGTATTCCAGAAAGTACAAATGAAGAATGATGAATACAAGTTACTTCCAGTTTTTCCCATTACTAAGTAATGCTACTTTAATCAATCTTGTGCCTTTTTCTTTGTATATTTATTGGAGTGTTTCTGGAAGAATAAATAATTGCAAGTAGAATTGATGAGTATGGTGTACCTTACATTTTGAAAAGTGTTGATATATTGCTGCCAACTTGGAAAAAGTTGTGACAGTTTATACTCCCTGCAGCTGTACTGTGTAAGAATGCCTTTCCCAGGTCCCATACCTCACCAAAACTGGTGATTATCAGTCCCTTTTTTTTAGTTACTAACTGTATAGTAAGAAGTAATCATTCTAATTTTAATTTGCATTTCTTTGATTACTGTGGAGGTTTAGCATCTTATCATATATAACAGCTTTGAATGGCTGAATATTACTGCATTAAGGATGTGACACAATTTATTCCATCCTCTGTTGTAAGACATTTAGATTCTAATTTTTTTATATTACAAGCAAAGCTGTTGTGAACATATTTACAACTACATCTTTACTAAAATAAGTTGTGTTTATTGAGCCGTTATGTGCTATATTACTGTTCTGAGTGTTTCACATCCGTTAAATCAGTTAATCCTCACAACCACCCTGAGTGATGTTTTTCCTCATTTTACAGAGAAGGAAATTTGAGAGTTAAAAAGATTATTATTTGCCCAAGGTCATACCTTTGATAAACAGTTGAACCAAGATTCAAAGCCAGACTGTATTACTCCAGAATCAAACTTCCAAACACTGTTCTGCATTGCTAAACTATTTCCTTATGATATGTCCTAGAATTTCTGGATCAGAGCGTATGTTTTAAAAACTTTATCCAGAAAAGTTTAATCAACAAAATATGAAAGCATTGATT